CCGTAGGCGGTGAGCCAGTGCCAGTGTTGAAGTCTAAGATTCAAAAGCAAAGCTGCTTTCTCAGGTTCAAAGAAGGCGAAGCTGTTCAAATTTCCTACTGAAATAGGCAAGCAACGACTTTTGGTCGACTTAAGCCAACTATACTTATTGCTTCGTCTTATGCTTTTGCTATCTGTCTTTCCATCCAACTTTGTTGTTCGCTTTGGGACCTGTTCCACCTTCAGTTTGGGATCTTAGGTTTGTGGGCCTTCTCCTTTGAATTGGCACTAGACTGAAACTAGTCAACTGAGCTATATCAGGGACTTAGCCTTCGACAGGACTGGAATCTTCACATATAAATATGCCTCGAGAGTCGAACTCGAGCACTTCTTACGAAGGCACTTCGTAAGAAGTGGATACCAACTTGGTGTTGAGTTATCTTTTTTGTTACAGTTACGAACGATGGGGAAGGGAAGGCGATGAAATCGTTTATTTGTTTGAAAGACGAAGGAAAGGTTTCACACCCTTAAAAGCAGTAATTCATATGATTTTTTAAATACAAAATTTAAAGTGAACAAATAGAATTATATAAAATTAGAAATTACCTTGAATATTTGATTATTGAAATTCTGGAGACCTGGATTTATGGACTCCGGCGAACGGCGACTCCGGCGACCGGCGACTCGACTCCGGCGTGAGGCGGTGAGCGGCGACCTGCGATTTACGGTTCGCGATTAAGGACGAGCCATCAGTTCGAGTCTTCGAGAGAGGGCTGCGAGCCCGCGATTGCGATTGAGAGACAGAGGGAGGCAGAGAGGGCTGCGGTTGCGCCTGCATTTAAGGTTCCGAGTCTTTGAGCGATTGAGAGACAGAGGGTTTACTGGTTTGGTTTAGGCGAATAGGGCCAATAGGGCAATACGTGATTACTGGTTTTGGCCCTTTTGTATAATTATAATACATACTAGCATTTTGTACGCGCATCGCGCGAAACTTATGTCTAATATTAAAATATTTGTAAGTAACCAAATTTACAAAATTAGTTAAAATTATGTTTTGCAATTTCTTAAAGCGGTGATACTTTTGAATTATCATTGATGGGGTGAGGACCCCGGCCCAAGAGATAGGGGCCCAAAGAAAATAGATAGGAGAACTGGGCCAGAGTCGAGAGGAGCCCGAAGAGCAATTGGCCGAGTCCGGGAGTCGGCCCAGGCCCAAGCACGGGCCCAGTTCAGAGCTGCTAAGAGGAGTCCAGTAGGAGCTTAGGCCGAGACAAGGAGTCGACCGAGGCCCAAGCCCAGGAAAGGACTCGGCTCAAGGAGCCGTTGAGAGCATTGAAGAGGTTCGTTTAAAAGGGAGCCGTTAAGACATTGAAAGCAGGACTCGGTCAGGCCGTTACAAGCCTGGGAGAGCCGTTGGTCGACCGAGTAATGGCGTCCAACGGCTCCGTATCTTAATTAGCCTTGAAGTCGGCCATTAAAGGCCTTCAAGTCGGTAGAGGAGGAGCCACTATATAAAGGCTCCTCCATTCTTGTAAAAGGACAGACGATTGAACACCCAGAGGGGGAGAATACCAAAAAGGTTCCGAGTACTCGCATTATCTCCGAGATAGGCATACATTTTACTGAAAGGTGCACCCACCAGCCAAAGGTTGAGTTGGACCTCCCGAAGAGGAGGAGGCTCAGTGGCGTCAGAAGCCGGTTATCAACATGATAGTCGGCGGGCCGGAAGGTGGTGACTCAACGAACACCAGAAAAGCCTGGGCCCGCCAGTTATACGTCGGAACGGTGTACTGGCGCGAGGAGAACCCTAAAAAGGTGTGTCGAGAGCCCATTGTGTTTACCGACCGAGATTTACCAGCCGGTGAAACACCGCATCGAGATGCGTTGGTTATAGCTATGGACATCAATGGCGTTGTCGTTCGACGAATCCTGGTAGACACCGGGAAGCAGCGTCAATGTGCTGTACTAGAAACCTTCATCAAAATGGGAATGACTCGGGAACAGCTGAGTCCTGTCAAAACTCCCCTCGCCGGTTTCACAGGGGACTCGGTGGAGGCGGAAAGGATCGATCACACTTCCAGTTGAGATCGGCAGTTACCCAGACGTACAGAGACTCAGCATGAAGTTCATTGTGGTGAATCTGGCCTGTTCGCATAACGCTATACTCGGCCGACCGGGTCTCGAGGATCTAGGAGCGTTGATTTCAATTGAGCATCTTTGTTTAAAATTCCTCACGGCCAAACGGAATAGGCACGGTGCGCTGTGACCGTAAGGTCGCCCGCGACTGCTACCTACAGGCATGTAAGGGGATGGGGCAAACGCGAGATACAGGTCCATGAGATCACCGAGAGGCCCCCAAAAAGGACGATAATACCACGTCCGGAGCCTGCCGTCGAGTTGGAAGAAGTCGAGATCGACTCCACGCAGCCGGACCGACGAGTCCGAATTGGAGTCGGCCTCCCCGAGGAAGTAAAGGAAGAAATTATAAAGGTGCTCCGGGAACACCGGATGGTCTTCGCCTGGTGCCCGGAGGACATGCCAGGCGTCGACCGATCGATAATATCGGCACAGACTCGCTGTGGATCCCGGGCATCGACCGGTTGTGCAGAAAGAAGCGATACCTGGCCAACGACCAAAGAGAATTTGTGGAAGAAGGAAGTGAGCACGCTACTCGCAGCCGGACACGTCCGCGAAGTTAAGTACCCGGAGTGGTTGGCGAATGTGGTCCTTGTACCCAAGCCCCCGGCGTGGCGGATGTGCGTGGATTACACCGACCTTAATAAGGCCTGCCCAAAAGATCCGTTCCCTTACCTCGGATCGATCAACTGGTCGACGAGACGGCGGGGTCGGCGCTGTTGAGCTTTATGGACGCCTTTAGGGGGTACCATAAGATATTCATGCACTCGGCGGACGAAGAAAAGACCGCGTTTCTGACACCGGACGGAGTTTATTGTTACCGAGTCATGCCATTTGGCCTCAAGAACGCCGGAGCCACGTATACCCGAATGGTGGCCCGATTGTTTCAGCACCTGTTGGGAAAATCGATGGCCGCGTACGTCGACGACATGCTCGTCAAGAGCCGAGAGGAGAGCAAACACGCAGAAGACTTGGCCGACTGCTTCAAAGTAATGTTAAGGTACAACCTCCGGCTGAACCCTAAGAAATGCGCGTTCGCCGTGCAAGGTGGAAAGTTCCTGGGTTACATGGTCACCAAGCGAGGTATCGAGCCTAACCCTGAGAAAGTACAGGCCATCGTCGACATGCAGCCTCCCAGCACTATAAAAGACCTGCAACGGCTGACCGGCCGATTGGCCGCCCTTAGCCGCTTCCTAAGCAAGGCGGCAGATAAGACCGTGCCCTTCTTCGAAGCCATGAAGAAGAAGGAAGGATTCGCTTGGACCCCGGAGTGCCAGCAGTCGTTTGAAGAATTGAAACAATACCTCTCGACACCCCCGGTATTGTCTACCCCCCAGGCGGGCGAGCCCTTGTTTCTGTACTTAGCCGCCTCTTGCAAGGCGGTGAGTTCGGTGTTGGTCCGAGAGGAAGAGCGAGTCCAGCACCCGGTTTACTACGTAAGCCGGTCTCTGAAGGCTGCCGAGTCAAGGTATACCGCCTTGGAAAAAATTGTATACGCGTTGGTGATTACCGTGCGCAAGTTGGCGCCCTACTTCCAAGCGCACACCGTTCGAGTACTGACAGACCAGCCTCTCGGAAGAGTTTTGCGAAACCCATCGTCATCCGGCCGCCTGGTAAAATGGGCCGTAGAACTAACCCAATACGGGATTGAATACCAGCCCCGGCCTTCTATAAAGGGTCAGGCCTTGGCCGATTTTTTGGTCGAATGCACCGCGAGTGAGGAAGAAAAGGAACGCGCCGTGGAGAGCTGCCTAGGCGAATGGTGGGAAATGCATGCGGACGGAGCATCGAGTCGACAGCACTGCGGAGGAGGTGTTGTGCTCATCACCCCCGAAGGATTCCGACTGTATTATGCCCTGAGCTATCTGTTCCAAGCCTCCAACAACGAGGCCGAGTACGAAGCTGTGTTAAACGGCCTCCGAATCGCCAGGGCCTTAGGGGTCGAGAGGTTACGAGTCAAGACTGACTCTAAGTTAGTAGTCGGGCAAATCTTAGGCACATGCGAGGCAAAGAATGCCCGGATGACTCTATATAGATTCAAGTGCATAAAGTGAATAAATCCATCTCTTCCATTTGTAATCCGGTGTGAGATATTCATAATTTCATATCAAGAATTGTCACAGACTAGCTACCAGTTATAAAGAATTAAAGATGCAAATTATTTACTTTTCATCCTTGTGATTTTCATAAAATATGATGTCTCAGTTTACCAAATGAAAGTTTCCCTGCCTTATACAATTTTTGTAAATCATAAAATGGAGAGACATCTCCCCGTGTTTGACCTTAACAAATATGTGAAAAGTTTCCCCTGCTCATCTGTTAGACTGTAGACTACCATTTGAATAAACCATTCCGCAGTCTTCTTCATTACTTTCACTTTAATTTGATTTTATTATTACCCTGTATACATGTGTTTTCTTTTTTCTTTTTCTCAAACTTCATATTAATTATATTTTTCATAAACACTTGTAATTCTTTATAAGATAGTATCTATTCTATAAATCTATACTTGTAACGACTTTTATTATTTACATGATAATTAACTCATATTAATTAGTTTATTATAAATTTATATTCTTAAACTATAACTAGTTAAGTCTTTATTAAAGATCAGTGAAGACTGAACATTCAACAAATCAAACAACAACAATAAATCAAACAACAAATAATCAAACTAGACTTAAGGTGTGTGTGTTTTGTTCTACAGTCAACCACATGAGCAGTTAGATAAGAATGCAATTTGAAAAGGCATAAAAAAACATCAATATCTTCTGCTTTCACCAGTGAAGCACATCAAAATCATAACAATAGCAACCACATTTTTTTATAAGCAACAGGAAAGCAAAGCAAAAACACACATAATTTGGGGGAAAAAAAAGGAAAGGAAAGACAGCGTTATCACTAATTTCAGACGCTGCCTGACCTGCTGTTACGGTGGCTGTTGAACGCTGGTGAGTGGGCTGCCGGCTGTGACAGGGCTGGTCGTGGTTGGCAGTCGTGGTCAGCGGTCGGCGGAAGCTTCAATCCGCAGAATTGAATTAGGCTGAATGGGGAAGCGTCTCTGTCTCATTTGGAGTCTCAGCTTCTTTTATTAATTTTAGTAAATAAGGGCTGAAATAAAATAAATTCCCTCGTTAATTAAAAAATAAAATAAAATAAAATAAACAAAAACAAAATTAAAAAATAAATTCCCTAATGAGACGCTGTTTAAAGAGTGGGGAGAAATAAAATTTAAAAAATAAATCGTGACGGAATAAATTTTGTCGTTAATTCCGTCGAAATATTTACTAAACTAGTATTGTACCCGTGCGATGCACGGATAAGACTTATACAGTAGTAATAAGATTATTTTTCTCATATGATTGAAAATTATTATTCTCTGAAAGGGAAAAGGACATAAAAATAAATTTAGACAAATGAGGACACACAAATAACCAACATATGCACACAACCAATTACAAAATAAACAAACAAATTAACAATGGTTAGAATATAACTCTCTAAAAAAATTAATTAATATTTATAACAATTACAATTATACATAAACATGTCATGTACATATATATATATATATATATATATATATATATATATATATATATATATATATATATATATATATATATATATATATACACACACACACACACACACAAACAAACAATATATATCATAGTGTATTAGCCTAGCTAAGGGTTATCTCAAAAATTCTCAAAAATAAAAGAAAAAAAGAAAAGGGCCAACTGCCAGCCCAACTCTATTTAAGTCAAATCATTATTGTATGGACCATATTTTGTATACAATAAAATAATGTACATTTAGTACACAAATAATGTACTTTTAGTATATTAAAAATGTACTTTGTATTCATGAAAAGTACATTATTTAAAAACTAAAAGTACATTATTTTATATAATGTACATTCAGTACACAAATAATGTACTTTTAGTACATTAAAAATATATTTTCTTTTATGGTCCATACAACACTACGTGGACCATGGTCCACACAATAATTTGCCTATTTAAGTTATTTACATATAACTAAGCCAAATATACTGAGCCCATTCCATATACCCGATCTAGACCACTTCCTACCCCTCCCCTTATCAGTTCTGACTCTCCCGAACGGGAAACTACAGACCACTACCTAGGGGTGAGCATCGGTCGGTTACGGTTAATAACCGACCGATAACCGAAAAAATAACGGTGTTTTTTTAACCTATGTAACTGACCGAACATACACATATAACCGACTGAAACCGATTATGTCGGTTTTGGTCGGTTATTTCGGTAACCGAAAAACCGAGAGTGAACTTCATAATTTCATATTTTCATGCTTCATAGTCTTCACAATAAATGGTTTATACTAATAAATGGTTATCTAACTTACCATGAACTTCATAGTCTTCACAAAACATACTAAATAAACAAACAATATGAACTTCATGGTCTTCAAAATTCACAAGTCATAGCCATACGCCCATACAACCATACTGCTTACTGCCAATCTACTTATCTGCCATAGTTCATTATTAAAAAAAAAAAAAAAAATAAGCATGCTTCCACATACTGCCAATCTAAAATTAAAAAAAGAATTTAATACTAAAATTAAAAGGTGAAATAATGAAACAGTGAATGAACTAACATTAGTATGTACTTAATAAACTAACATTTAATAAACTAACATTAGTGTCCTTTCAAAAAAAAAAAAAACTAACATTAGTGTGTGCTGAAATAAACTAACAGTGAATAAACTAACATTGTGAATTAGTGTGTACTTAATTCAATAAACTAAATTACTTAAACATATTCTAGAATAAACTAACATATTATATGAATTAACCAGAGTTAATAACACAGAGTTATGAACTAACATATTCGTATGAAGTTATGAACTAACACACTAAGTCAGTAACACTAACACATAATCACAGATACAACACAGTTTATTTCAATTGATTTGTAGTTTTTTTCGTTCTTTCTATTCGAGATTGGGTTAGTGTTCTGCTACGCCTCTCGGTAAAGACTTCCTAGTTAGCGCTCCGTCGGTCCTTCAAATCAATTATATTGGGAGGTCTAACGAGTGAAAATGGTTCACAGTCCGACTGCTAATTCAAGTTACCTTTCAAAGAGACGAGATTCCGCATCAACTTATTTCGGGATGAAGACATGTCGGCCTTACGACTGCGAATGAAAGTCTTCCTAGCACAGAAAGGAAATGATGATTTACCCAAGTCCTTTGCTAAAACTTCTTGCTTATGCTTTCATTTTGTCATCGAGAGTAGGTTGGTGTGCAGTATACCTATTGGCTGGATGGATTGAATATATATATTCATCAATAAAGTTGCTTTGACGAGAAAGAGCCCTGAGTCCAACTCTCGCTCAGTAAGAATACAAGCCCGAAACAGCCTCCAACCCCTAATTATACGCCGACCCGCTTGACTTTTTGACTTAAGGAAATACGCAGCTAGACTTTGCCAGCTTTCCGGCTTAGACTGATTTAGTGAAGTATGCCAATTAAGATTGCCTTGCTTGGACTCTGCCTCTTTGGACTCACTAGCCTAAGGCTTAGCCAAGACTAATTTTTCCGTTGATAGAAATTTCCACCTTGCCGCTGATTTTGGGATTGAGCTCTACCAAGTAAGGTTACCTCTGAAGTTTGAGAACCAGCTGGAACTTGGATTGCTGAGGCTGTCTAATAAACTATTATAGACAGGATAGGATATTAATACTATCAAAGAAGATGAACTTGCGGGTAATATACTCTAAGACTGACTGACTGGCTTCGAATGAGGCTTTGAAGAAAGAGATAGAGGTTCTCAAGAGCGGATCTTCAAGAGCAAAGACCGGAGAACTCTAAGAGCTGATTTGTCTCAATTAGGCTTTTGACGGCGTAGAGAAAGATATTATTTTTATTGAGGGGATTCCTCTCTACTAGAATAAGGGAGAAGATCTACAACCTAGCAAACTAGCCTCCTTCTTACTAGCATTCTTCCGGGTCCTCTCGAACCAGCATCTTCCAACCTGGTGCTCTCACTTCTCGGACTAGTACAGGTCCAAACCAAAGCCAAAGCTCCAAAAGTCTAAGGATAAGTTCCTTCTCTATGGAAGAAAGAGAGTCCCTAGGAAGCTACTGTAAAGTGGCCGTAGGCGGTGAGCCAGTGCCAGTGGTTGAAGTCTAAGATTCAAAAGCAAAGCTGCTTTCTCAGGTTCAAAGAAGGCGAAGCTGTTCAAATTTCCTACTGAAATAGGCAAGCAACGACTTTTGGTCGACTTAAGCCAACTATACTTATTGCTTCGTCTTATGCTTTTGCTATCTGTCTTTCCATCCAACTTTGTTGTTCGCTTTGGGACCTGTTCCACCTTCAGTTTGGGATCTTAGGTTTGTGGGCCTTCTCCTTTGAATTGGCACTAGACTGAAACTAGTCAACTGAGCTATATCAGGGACTTAGCCTTCGACAGGACTGGAATCTTCGACATATAAATATGCCTCGAGAGTCGAACTCGAGCACTTCTTACGAAGGCACTTCGTAAGAAGTGGATACCAACTTGGTGTTGAGTTATCTTTTTTGTTACAGTTACGAACGATGGGGAAGGGAAGGCGATGAAATCGTTTATTTGTTTGAAAGACGAAGGAAAGGTTTCACACCCTTAAAAGCAGTAATTCATATGATTTTTTTAAATACAAAATTTAAAGTGAACAAATAGAATTATATAAAATTAGAAATTACCTTGAATATTTGATTATTGAAATTCTGGAGACCTGGATTTATGGACTCCGGCGAACGGCGACTCCGGCGACTCCGGCGACCGGCGACTCGACTCCGGCGTGAGGCGGTGAGCGGCGACCTGCGATTTACGGTTCGCGGATTAAGGACGAGCCATCAGTTCGAGTCTTCGAGAGAGGGCTGCGAGCCCGCGATTGCGATTGAGAGACAGAGGGAGGCAGAGAGGGCTGCGGTTGCGCCTGCATTTAAGGTTCCGAGTCTTTGAGCGATTGAGAGACAGAGGGTTTACTGGTTTGGTTTAGGCGAATAGGGCCAATAGGGCAATACGTGATTACTGGTTTTGGCCCTTTTGTATAATTATAATACATACTAGCATTTTGTACGCGCATCGCGCGAAACTTATGTCTAATATTAAAATATTTGTAAGTAACCAAATTTACAAAATTAGTTAAAATTATGTTTTGCAATTTCTTAAAGCGGTGATACTTTTGAATTATCATTGATGGGGTGAGGACCCCGGCCCAAGAGATAGGGGCCCAAAGAAAATAGATAGGAGAACTGGGCCAGAGTCGAGAGGAGCCCGAAGAGCAATTGGGCCGAGTCCGGGAGTCGGCCCAGGCCCAAGCACGGGGCCCAGTTCAGAGCTGCTAAGAGGAGTCCAGTAGGAGCTTAGGCCGAGACAAGGAGTCGACCGAGGCCCAAGCCCAGGAAAGGACTCGGCTCAAGGAGCCGTTGAGAGCATTGAAGAGGTTCGTTTAAAAGGGAGCCGTTAAGACATTGAAAGCAGGACTCGGTCAGGCCGTTACAAGCCTGGGAGAGCCGTTGGTCGACCGAGTAATGGCGTCCAACGGCTCCGTATCTTAATTAGCCTTGAAGTCGGCCATTAAAGGCCTTCAAGTCGGTAGAGGAGGAGCCACTATATAAAGGCTCCTCCATTCTTGTAAAAGGACAGACGATTGAACACCCAGAGGGGGAGAATACCAAAAAGGTTCCGAGTACTCGCATTATCTCCGAGATAGGCATACATTTTACTGAAAGGTGCACCCACCAGCCAAAGGTTGAGTTGGACCTCCCGAAGAGGAGGAGGCTCAGTGGCGTCAGAAGCCGGTTATCAACATGATAGTCGGCGGGCCGGAAGGTGGTGACTCAACGAACACCAGAAAAGCCTGGGCCCGCCAGTTATACGTCGGAACGGTGTACTGGCGCGAGGAGAACCCTAAAAAGGTGTGTCGAGAGCCCATTGTGTTTACCGACCGAGATTTACCAGCCGGTGAAACACCGCATCGAGATGCGTTGGTTATAGCTATGGACATCAATGGCGTTGTCGTTCGACGAATCCTGGTAGACACCGGAAGCAGCGTCAATGTGCTGTACCTAGAAACCTTCATCAAAATGGGAATGACTCGGGAACAGCTGAGTCCTGTCAAAACTCCCCTCGCCGGTTTCACAGGGGACTCGGTGGAGGCGGAAGGATCGGATCACACTTCCAGTTGAGATCGGCAGTTACCCAGACGTACAGAGACTCAGCATGAAGTTCATTGTGGTGAATCTGGCCTGTTCGCATAACGCTATACTCGGCCGACCGGGTCTCGAGGATCTAGGAGCGTTGATTTCAATTGAGCATCTTTGTTTAAAATTCCTCACGCCAAACGGAATAGGCACGGTGCGCTGTGACCGTAAGGTCGCCCGCGACTGCTACCTACAGGCATGTAAGGGGATGGGCAAACGCGAGATACAGGTCCATGAGATCACCGAGAGGCCCCCAAAAAGGACGATAATACCACGTCCGGAGCCTGCCGTCGAGTTGGAAGAAGTCGAGATCGACTCCACGCAGCCGGACCGACGAGTCCGAATTGGAGTCGGCCTCCCCGAGGAAGTAAAGGAAGAAATTATAAAGGTGCTCCGGGAACACCGGATGGTCTTCGCCTGGTGCCCGGAGGACATGCCAGGCGTCGACCGATCGATAATATCGCACAGACTCGCTGTGGATCCCGGGCATCGACCGGTTGTGCAGAAGAAGCGATACCTGGCCAACGACCAAAGAGAATTTGTGAAGAAGGAAGTGAGCACGCTACTCGCAGCCGGACACGTCCGCGAAGTTAAGTACCCGGAGTGGTTGGCGAATGTGGTCCTTGTACCCAAGCCCCCGGCGTGGCGGATGTGCGTGGATTACACCGACCTTAATAAGGCCTGCCCAAAAGATCCGTTCCCCTTACCTCGGATCGATCAACTGGTCGACGAGACGGCGGGGTCGGCGCTGTTGAGCTTTATGGACGCCTTTAGGGGGTACCATAAGATATTCATGCACTCGGCGGACGAAGAAAAGACCGCGTTTCTGACACCGGACGGAGTTTATTGTTACCGAGTCATGCCATTTGGCCTCAAGAACGCCGGAGCCACGTATACCCGAATGGTGGCCCGATTGTTTCAGCACCTGTTGGGAAAATCGATGGCCGCGTACGTCGACGACATGCTCGTCAAGAGCCGAGAGGAGAGCAAACACGCAGAAGACTTGGCCGACTGCTTCAAAGTAATGTTAAGGTACAACCTCCGGCTGAACCCTAAGAAATGCGCGTTCGCCGTGCAAGGTGGAAAGTTCCTGGGTTACATGGTCACCAAGCGAGGTATCGAGCCTAACCCTGAGAAAGTACAGGCCATCGTCGACATGCAGCCTCCCAGCACTATAAAAGACCTGCAACGGCTGACCGGCCGATTGGCCGCCCTTAGCCGCTTCCTAAGCAAGGCGGCAGATAAGACCGTGCCCTTCTTCGAAGCCATGAAGAAGAAGGAAGGATTCGCTTGGACCCCGGAGTGCCAGCAGTCGTTTGAAGAATTGAAACAATACCTCTCGACACCCCCGTATTGTCTACCCCCCAGGCGGGCGAGCCCTTGTTTCTGTACTTAGCCGCCTCTTGCAAGGCGGTGAGTTCGGTGTTGGTCCGAGAGGAAGAGCGAGTCCAGCACCCGGTTTACTACGTAAGCCGGTCTCTGAAGGCTGCCGAGTCAAGGTATACCGCCTTGGAAAAAATTGTATACGCGTTGGTGATTACCGTGCGCAAGTTGGCGCCCTACTTCCAAGCGCACACCGTTCGAGTACTGACAGACCAGCCTCTCGGAAGAGTTTTGCGAAACCCATCGTCATCCGGCCGCCTGGTAAAATGGGCCGTAGAACTAACCCAATACGGGATTGAATACCAGCCCCGGCCTTCTATAAAGGGTCAGGCCTTGGCCGATTTTTTGGTCGAATGCACCGCGAGTGAGGAAGAAAAGGAACGCGCCGTGGAGAGCTGCCTAGGCGAATGGTGGGAAATGCATGCGGACGGAGCATCAAGTCGACAGCACTGCGGAGGAGGTGTTGTGCTCATCACCCCCGAAGGATTCCGACTGTATTATGCCCTGAGCTATCTGTTCCAAGCCTCCAACAACGAGGCCGAGTACGAAGCTGTGTTAAACGGCCTCCGAATCGCCAGGGCCTTAGGGGTCGAGAGGTTACGAGTCAAGACTGACTCTAAGTTAGTAGTCGGGCAAATCTCAGGCACATGCGAGGCAAAGAATGCCCGGATGACTCTATATAGATTCAAGTGCATAAAGTGAATAAATCCATCTCTTCCATTTGTAATCCGGTGTGAGATATTCATAATTTCATATCAAGAATTGTCACAGACTAGCTACCAGTTATAAAGAATTAAAGATGCAAATTATTTACTTTTCATCCTTGTGATTTTCATAAAATATGATGTCTCAGTTTACCAAATGAAAGTTTCCCTGCCTTATACAATTTTTGTAAATCATAAAATGGAGAGACATCTCCCCGTGTTTGACCTTAACAAATATGTGAAAAGTTTCCCTGCTCATCTGTTAGACTGTAGACTACCATTTGAATAAACCATTCCGCAGTCTTCTTCATTACTTTCACTTTAATTTGATTTTATTATTACCCTGTATACATGTGTTTTCTTTTTCTTTTTCTCAAAACTTCATATTAATTATATTTTTCATAAACACTTGTAATTCTTTATAAGATAGTATCTATTCTATAAATCTATACTTGTAACGACTTTTATTATTTACATGATAATTAACTCATATTAATTAGTTTATTATAAATTTATATTCTTAAACTATAACTAGTTAAGTCTTTATTAAAGATCAGTGAAGACTGAACATTCAACAAATCAAACAACAACAATAAATCAAACAACAAATAATCAAACTAGACTTAAGGTGTGTGTGTTTTGTTCTACAGTCAACCACATGAGCAGTTAGATAAGAATGCAATTTGAAAAGGCATAAAAAAACATCAATATCTTCTGCTTTCACCAGTGAAGCACATCAAAATCATAACAATAGCAACCACATTTTTTTATAAGCAACAGGAAAGCAAAGCAAAAACACACATAATTTGGGGGAAAAAAAAGGAAAGGAAAACAGCGTTATCACTAATTTCAGACGCTGCCTGACCTGCTGTTACGGTGGCTGTTGAACGCTGGTGAGTGGGCTGCCGGCTGTGACAAGGCTGGTCGTGGTTGGCAGTCGTGGTCAGCGGTCGGCGGAAGCTTCAATCCGCAGAATTGAATTAGGCTGAATGGGGAAGCGTCTCTGTCTCATTTGGAGTCTCAGCTTCTTTTATTAATTTTAGTAAATAAGGGCTGAAATAAAATAAATTCCCTCGTTAATTAAAAAATAAAATAAAATAAAATAAACAAAAACAAAATTAAAAAATAAATTCCCTAATGAGACGCTGTTTAAAGAGTGGGGAGAAATAAAATTTAAAAAATAAATCGTGACGGAATAAATTTTGTCGTTAATTCCGTCGAAATATTTACTAAACTAGTATTGTACCCGTGCGATGCACGGATAAGACTTATACAGTAGTAATAAGATTATTTTTCTCATATGATTGAAAATTATTATTCTCTGAAAGGGAAAAGGACATAAAAATAAATTTAGACAAATGAGGACACACAAATAACCAACATATGCACACAACCAATTACAAAATAAACAAACAAATTAACAATGGTTAGAATATAACTCTCTAAAAAAATTAATTAATATTTATAACAATTACAATTATACATAAACATGTCATGTACATATATATATATATATATAATATATATATATATATATATAATATATAATATATATATATATATATATATATATATATATATATGTACACACACACACACACACAAACAAACAATATATATCATAGTGTATTAGCCTAGCTAAGGGTTATCTCAAAAATTCTCAAAAATAAAAGAAAAAAAGAAAAGGGCCAACTGCCAGCCCAACTCTATTTAAGTCAAATCATTATTGTATGGACCATATTTTGTATACAATAAAATAATGTACATTTAGTACACAAATAATGTACTTTTAGTATATTAAAAATGTACTTTGTATTCATGAAAAGTACATTATTTAAAAACTAAAAGTACATTATTTTATATAATGTACATTCAGTACACAAATAATGTACTTTTAGTACATTAAAAATATATTTTCTTTTATGGTCCATACAACACTACGTGGACCATGGTCCACACAATAATTTGCCTATTTAAGTTATTTACATATAACTAAGCCAAATATACTGAGCCCATTCCATATACCCGATCTAGACCACTTCCTACCCCTCCCCTTATCAGTTCTGACTCTCCCGAACGGGAAACTACAGACCACTACCTAGGGGTGAGCATCGGTCGGTTACGGTTAATAACCGACCGATAACCGAAAAAATAACGGTGTTTTTTTAACCTATGTAACTGACCGAACATACACATATAACCGACTGAAACCGATTATGTCGGTTTTGGTCGGTTATTTCGGTAACCGAAAAACCGAGAGTGAACTTCATAATTTCATATTTTCATGCTTCATAGTCTTCACAATAAATGGTTTATACTAATAAATGGTTATCTAACTTACCATGAACTTCATAGTCTTCACAAAACATACTAAATAAACAAACAATATGAACTTCATGGTCTTCAAAATTCACAAGTCATAGCCATACGCCCATACAACCATACTGCTTACTGCCAATCTACTTATCTGCCATAGTTCATTATTAAAAAAAAAAATAAAAATAAGCATGCTTCCACATACTGCCAATCTAAAATTAAAAAAAGAATTTAATACTAAAATTAAAAGGTGAAATAATGAAACAGTGAATGAACTAACATTAGTATGTACTTAATAAACTAACATTTAATAAACTAACATTAGTGTCCTTTCAAAAAAAAAAAAAACTAACATTAGTGTGTGCTGAAATAACTAACAGTGAATAAACTAACATTGTGAATTAGTGTGTACTTAATTCAATAAACTAAATTACTTAAACATATTCTAGAATGAACTAACATATTATATGAATTAACCAGAGTTAATAACACAGAGTTATGAACTAACATATTCGTATGAAGTTATGAACTAACACACTAAGTCAGTAACACTAACACATAATCACAGATACAACACAGTTTATTTCAATTGATTTGTAGTTTTTTTTCGTTCTTTCTATTCGAGATTGGGTTAGTGTTCTGCTACGCCTCTCGGTAAAGACTTCCTAGTTAGCGCTCCGTCGGTCCTTCAAATCAATTATATTGGGAGGTCTAACGAGTGAAAATGGTTCACAGTCCGACTGCTAATTCAAGTTACCTTTCAAAGAGACGAGATTCCGCATCAACTTATTTCGGGATGAAGACATGTCGGCCTTACGACTGCGAATGAAAGTCTTCCTAGCACAGAAAGGAAATGATGATTTACCCAAGTCCTTTGCTAAAACTTCTTGCTTTATGCTTTCATTTGTCATCGAGAGTAGGTTGGCTGTGCAGTATACCTATTGGCTGGATGGATTGAATATATATATTCATCAATAAAGTTGCTTTGACGAGAAAGAGCCCTGAGTCCAACTCTCGCTCAGTAAGAATACAAGCCCGAAACAGCCTCCAACCCCTAATTATACGCCGACCCGCTTGACTTTTTGACTTAAGGAAATACGCAGCTAGACTTTGCCAGCTTTCCGGCTTAGACTGATTTAGTGAAGTATGCCAATTAAGATTGCCTTGCTTGGACTCTGCCTCTTTGGACTCACTAGCCTAAGGCTTAGCCAAGACTAATTTTTCCGTTGATAGAAATTTCCACCTTGCTGCTGATTTTGGGATTGAGCTCTACCAAGTAAGGTTACCTCTGAAGTTTGAGAACCAGCTGGAACTTGGATTGCTGAGGCTGTCTAATAAACTATTATAGACAGGATAGGATATTAATACTATCAAAGAAGATGAACTTGCGGGTAATATACTCTAAGACTGACTGACTGGCTTCGAATGAGGCTTTGAAGAAAGAGATAGAGGTTCTCAAGAGCGGATCTTCAAGAGCAAAGACCGGAGAACTCTAAGAGCTGATTTGTCTCAATTAGGCTTTTGACGGCGTAGAGAAAGATATTATTTTTATTGAGGGGATTCCTCTCTACTAGAATAAGGGAGAAGATCTACAACCTAGCAAACTAGCCTCCTTCTTACTAGCATTCTTCCGGGTCCTCTCGAACCAGCATCTTCCAACCTGGTGCTCTCACTTCTCGGACTAGTACAGGTCCAAACCAAAGCCAAAGCTCCAAAAGTCTAAGGATAAGTTCCTTCTCTATGGAAGAAAGAGAGTCCCTAGGAAGCTACTGTAAAGTGGCCGTAGGCGGTGAGCCAGTGCCAGTGGTTGAAGTCTAAGATTCAAAAGCAAAGCTGCTTTCTCAGGTTCAAAGAAGGCGAAGCTGTTCAAATTTCCTACTGAAATAGGCAAGCAACGACTTTTGGTCGACTTAAGCCAACTATACTTATTGCTTCGTCTTATGCTTTTGCTATCTGTCTTTCCATCCAACTTTGTTGTTCGCTTTGGGACCTGTTCCACCTTCAGTTTGGGATCTTAGGTTTGTGGGCCTTCTCCTTTGAATTGGCACTAGACTGAAACTAGTCAACTGAGCTATATCAGGGACTTAGCCTTCGACAGGACTGGAATCTTCGACATATAAATATGCCTCGAGAGTCGAACTCGAGCACTTCTTACGAAGGCACTTCGTAAGAAGTGGATACCAACTTGGTGTTGAGTTATCTTTTTTGTTACAGTTACGAACGATGGGGAAGGGAAGGCGATGAAATCGTTTATTTGTTTGAAAGACGAAGGAAAGGTTTCACACCCTTAAAAGCAGTAATTCATATGATTTTTTTAAATACAAAATTTAAAGTGAACAAATAGAATTATATAAAATTAGAAATTACCTTGAATATTTGATTATTGAAATTCTGGAGACCTGGATTTATGGACTCCGGCGAACGGCGACTCCGGCGACTCCGGCGACCGGCGACTCGACTCCGGCGTGAGGCGGTGAGCGGCGACCTGCGATTTACGGTTCGCGATTAAGGACGAGCCATCAGTTCGAGTCTTCGAGAGAGGGCTGCGAGCCCGCGATTGCGATTGAGAGACAGAGGGAGGCAGAGAGGGCTGCGGTTGCGCCTGCATTTAAGGTTCCGAGTCTTTGAGCGATTGAGAGACAGAGGGTTTACTGGTTTGGTTTAGGCGAATAGGGCCAATAGGGCAATACGTGATTACTGGGTTTGGCCCTTTTGTATAATTATAATACATACTAGCATTTTGTACGCGCATCGCGCGAAACTTATGTCTAATATTAAAATATTTGTAAGTAACCAAATTTACAAAATTAGTTAAAATTATGTTTTGCAATTTCTTAAAGCGATGATACTTTTGAATTATCATTGATGGGGTGAGGACCCCGGCCCAAGAGATAGGGCGCCAAAGAAAATAGATAGGAGAACTGGGCCAGAGTTGAGAGGAGCCCGAAGAGCAATTGGGCCGAGTCCGGGAGTCTGCCCAGGCCCAAGCACGGGGCCCAGTTCAGAGCTGCTAAGAGGAGTCCAGTAGGAGCTTAGGCCGAGACAAGGAGTCGACCGAGGCCCAAGCCCAGGAAAGGACTCGGCTCAAGGAGCCGTTGAGAGCATTGAAGAGGTTCGTTTAAAAGGGAGCCGTTAAGACATTGAAAGCAGGACTCGGTCAGGCCGTTACAAGCCTGGGAGAGCCGTTGGTCGACCGAGTAATGGCGTCCAACGGCTCCGTATCTTAATTAGCCTTGAAGTCGGCCATTAAAGGCCTTCAAGTCGGTAGAGGAGGAGCCACTATATAAAGGCTCTTCCATTCTTGTAAAAGGACAGACGATTGAACACCCAGAGGGGAGAATACCAAAAAGGTTCCGAGTACTCGCATTATCTCCGAGATAGGCATACATTTTACTGAAAGGTGCACCCACCAGCCAAAGGTTGAGTTGGACCTCCCGAAGAGGAGGAGGCTCAGTGGCGTCAGAAGCCGGTTATCAACATGATAGTCGGCGGGCCGGAAGGTGGTGACTCAACGAACACCAGAAAAGCCTGGGCCCGCCAGTTATACGTCGGAACGGTGTACTGGCGCGAGGAGAACCCTAAAAAGGTGTGTCGAGAGCCCATTGTGTTTACCGACCGAGATTTACCAGCCGGTGAAACACCGCATCGAGATGCGTTGGTTATAGCTATGGACATCAATGGCGTTGTCGTTCGACGAATCCTGGTAGACACCGGAAGCAGCGTCAATGTGCTGTACCTAGAAACCTTCATCAAAATGGGAATGACTCGGGAACAGCTGAGTCCTGTCAAAACTCCCCTCGCCGGTTTCACAGGGGACTCGGTGGAGGCGGAAGGATCGATCACACTTCCAGTTGAGATCGGCAGTTACCCAGACGTACAGAGACTCAGCATGAAGTTCATTGTGGTGAATCTGGCCTGTTCGCATAACGCTATACTCGGCCGACCGGGTCTCGAGGATCTAGGAGCGTTGATTTCAATTGAGGCATCTTTGTTTAAAATTCCTCACGCCAAACGGAATAGGCACGGTGCGCTGTGACCGTAAGGTCGCCCGCGACTGCTACCTACAGGCATGTAAGGGGATGGGCAAACGCGAGATACAGGTCCATGAGATCACCGAGAGGCCCCCAAAAAGGACGATAATACCACGTCCGGAGCCTGCCGTCGAGTTGGAAGAAGTCGAGATCGACTCCACGCAGCCGGACCGACGAGTCCGAATTGGAGTCGGCCTCCCCGAGGAAGTAAAGGAAGAAATTATAAAGGTGCTCCGGGAACACCGGATGGTCTTCGCCTGGTGCCCGGAGGACATGCCAGGCGTCGACCGATCGATAATATCGCACAGACTCGCTGTGGATCCCGGGCATCGACCGGTTGTGCAGAAGAAGCGATACCTGGCCAACGACCAAAGAGAATTTTGTGAAGCAGGAAGTGAGCACGCTACTCGCAGCCGGACACGTCCGCGAAGTTAAGTACCCCGGAGTGGTTGGCGAATGTGGTCCTTGTACCCAAGCCCCCCGGCGTGGCGGATGTGCGTGGATTACACCGACCTTAATAAGGCCTGCCCAAAAGATCCGTTCCCCTTACCTCGGATCGATCAACTGGTCGACGAGACGGCGGGGTCGGCGCTGTTGAGCTTTATGGACGCCTTTAGGGGGTACCATAAGATATTCATGCACTCGGCGGACGAAGAAAAGACCGCGTTCTGACACCGGACGGAGTTTATTGTTACCGAGTCATGCCATTTGGCCTCAAAGAACGCCGGAGCCACGTATACCCGAATGGTGGCCCGATTGTTTCAGCACCTGTTGGGAAAATCGATGGCCGCGTACGTCGACGACATGCTCGTCAAGAGCCGAGAGGAGAGCAAACACGCAGAAGACTTGGCCGACTGCTTCAAAGTAATGTTAAGGTACAACCTCCGGCTGAACCCTAAGAAATGCGCGTTCGCCGTGCAAGGTGGAAAGTTCCTGGGTTACATGGTCACCAAGCGAGGTATCGAGCCTAACCCTGAGAAAGTACAGGCCATCGTCGACATGCAGCCTCCCAGCACTATAAAAGACCTGCAACGGCTGACCGGCCGATTGGCCGCCCTTAGCCGCTTCCTAAGCAAGGCGGCAGATAAGACCGTGCCCTTCTTCGAAGCCATGAAGAAGAAGGAAGGATTCGCTTGGACCCCGGAGTGCCAGCAGTCGTTTGAAGAATTGAAACAATACCTCTCGACACCCCGGTATTGTCTACCCCCCAGGCGGGCGAGCCCTTGTTTCTGTACTTAGCCGCCTCTTGCAAGGCGGTGAGTTCGGTGTTGGTCCGAGAGGAAGAGCGAGTCCAGCCACCCGGTTTACTACGTAAGCCGGTCTCTGAAGGCTGCCGAGTCAAGGTATACCGCCTTGGAAAAAATTGTATACGCGTTGGTGATTACCGTGCGCAAGTTGGCGCCCTACTTCCCAAGCGCACACCGTTCGAGTACTGACAGACCAGCCTCTCGGAAGAGTTTTGCGAAACCCATCGTCATCCGGCCGCCTGGTAAAATGGGCCGTAGAACTAACCCAATACGGGATTGAATACCAGCCCCGGCCTTCTATAAAGGGTCAGGCCTTGGCCGATTTTTTGGTCGAATGCACCGCGAGTGAGGAAGAAAAGGAACGCGCCGTGGAGAGCTGCCTAGGCGAATGGTGGGAAATGCATGCGGACGGAGCATCAAGTCGACAGCACTGCGGAGGAGGTGTTGTGCTCATCACCCCGAAGGATTCCGACTGTATTATGCCCTGAGCTATCTGTTCCAAGCCTCCAACAACGAGGCCGAGTACGAAGCTGTGTTAAACGGCCTCCGAATCGCCAGGGCCTTAGGGGTCGAGAGGTTACGAGTCAAGACTGACTCTAAGTTAGTAGTCGGGCAAATCTCAGGCACATGCGAGGCAAAGAATGCCCGGATGACTCTATATAGAGAACGCGCGGTTGAGATGCTAAAAGAGTTCGGAGCCTACGAAATAGAGTATATATCTCGAACCGATAACATAGAAGCTGACATATTGTCCAAGATTGCCTTGGAAGGAGTACCGGACCACCTGGTAAAAATCTGTCAGAAAGAGGAGCTAAGTCGACCAAGCATCGAAGAAGCACCGCTAAGGGTCCAACAAGTGACTGGCGAGGAATGGGACCGAGAGAAAAATCCCGAGATGTTCTGGATAGAGGACATCCGGCGATTCATAGAAAAAGGCGAGTTACCGGAAGACCCGGGAGTCGCCGCAAGGGTTCGACGAAAGGCCCCCTCTTTCCAGATCGTTGATGGGCAGTTATATAAACGGTCGTTCGGAGGACCTTTGCTAAGATGTTTGCTCAGGCCCGAGGCCGAGAAAATAATGGCGAAGCCCATAGGGGCATCTGTGCCGCGCACCAGGGTGCCCACACACTCGCTCGGAAGTTAGTCGTCCAAGGATATTATTGGCCCACCATGATGCGAGACTGTATTGAATGGATATCCAAGTGCAGCGTTTGCCAAGCATTCGCCAAGAAAGATACTCGGCCAGCTACTTTTTACACGCCGGTCACCACCGCTATCCCATTTGCCAAGTGGGGGATTGATTTGCTGGGCCCATTGCCAGTCGCCCCCGGAGGCTTGAAGTTCTGTGTCGTAGCTATCGACTACTTCACCAAGTGTGTCGAGGCGGAACCACTGGCCACCATCACGAGTACCAATGTCGACGCTTTTTGTGGAAAAGAGTAATTTGCCGCTTCGGCCTGCCCGAGCACATCGTTAGCGACAACGGACGACAGTTCGATTGCCAGGCATTCACCGACTTCTGCCGCCGACATGAAATTCGCCACACTAAGGTGTCGGTAGCATACCCACAAGCCAATGGACAAGTCGAGAATGTGAACCGAACGCTAGTGGATGGAATTCGGAAGAAATTGGAAGACATTCGAGGGAACTGGGCGGATGAGCTTGACCGAGTCCTATGGGCTTATCGCACCACCCAACGACGAGCAACGGGAGAGAGTCCGTTCTCCCTCGCGTATGGCTTTGAGGCCAAGGTTCCAATTGAGGTGATCGAGCCCACTCACCGGGTCCGTACTATTCAGACACGGAGAACGAAGAGAGTCTTCTAATTGAGAAAAATTTCTTAGAAGAAAAGAGGGAAGCCGCGAGTGCGCGAATGGCTGAATACTAACAGGCGGTGAAAAGATATCGCGATCGCGGATTCGTCCGCGAGCCTTCCAGGTCGGCGACCTCGTGCTAGGGATCGACAGGCCAGTCAACCCACAGAAGGGGGGAAGCTTGCGATCAAGTGGGAGGGACCATACCGCATCGCCGCGGTTGTCCAAGCGGGGACCTACAAACTGGAAACAATGAGGGGCAAGCCCGTGGATCGAATCTGGAACGTTATCCACCTGAAGAAGTTTTATCAATAGAAAGTGGCAAAACATGTATGGGCCCGCGGGTCCTGAAAGACTTGAATAAAAGTACGAGTTACGGTTAACCACTCCAGGGACCCGGCGAAAGAGTTAGGAAACAAGGGCCCAGACCCTTAGTCGTTTCCGTGAAAAAGCCAAAGAGGAGTCGCCTCGACTGAGGGACTCGGCGAGTATTTAAAGAAACAACGGGGCACTGACCCTAAACGTTTCTAAGAAAGTAAAAGCCTAAGGAGTCGCCTCGACTGAGGGACTCGGCGAGAAAGAGTTA